GATAGTAAATATTTAAAAATTTGTTAAAGCGATCATGTAATTTTGAATGATTATTATTGATAATTACCCAACTCTTTATTTTTTTATATAATTAAAAAGCATTTGAGCTAAGTTCTTTTTAATTGTAATATTACAAAGTTTCGCTTCATAAGTTTTATATTAACAAATGCAATAAATTTAAGGTAAAAAATTAATATAATAATTCAAACTATTCAGAATTTAGTGTGAAATTTATAATTTAAAAATTGTTCTTAATATCTTTTTGTGAGAAGATCTGTTTATACATTAATTGCTGTAATCGCAAACAAAAAAGATTCTAATATTAGATTTTTGACTATTAACGATATATAATCATTTATAAAAAATACCAATAGTATATAACTTGCCAAATTATTTATTGCCAATAAAAAGTATTTGAATCTCGTCCATTCCATGTTTTTCTTACAGTTTTGGCATTTTCAAATTCTTCTAAATCCTCAACCATTTTTTTTATGGGATTAAAATTTTTTTCAACTGAATCTAGCCATTTCTCTTGTTGAGGAAGAGCAGATGATTTTTCTATGAAATTTATAGCCTAAAAAAAAAAAAGAAGTTATTTATTGAATATAAGATATAAAATATATATTTTATTACCTTTTCAAGTACTGTTTTTAGTTCAATAGCTTTATTATCCGTAGTATCTATATCACTATTATTATCAACGCTGTTCAAATAATTATCTTCTAAATTTAATTCATATTCACATTCCTTGTTATTATTTAAAATTATGGCTTTATCTGGTTTGTATCGTGAATTATTCAAAATTGATTTCCAAACTGATTGATTTGCTTCATAAATAAATGGATACTTGTTATTCCATTGTACTAAATTAAAAAAAGAATTTTTCATATTCCCTAATGGCACAACAAGGTGCTTACAAAGAAAAAAGCAACTTTTAAGGAATGATGGACATGAACAAATCCAATGATCATGAACTGTAAGATACTTATTAGAATTATTAATTTTTTGAACTGAGAGTTTCTTCCATTCATGTTTAAAATCTTTTCTCCAAGGAGGCTAAATTCGTTCAAGTACAAGAAGATCATATCGATGTAATAATTTTGGAAGCATTCTGGTAACTATTACATTACAAAGTACATCTAGATGTGGACGGTTAAATTTGTATAAAAAATCATGCTTGAGAATTCTCTAATGAGACTCCACAATCATTGTTGTATAGATAATTGAAGCTGTTTTGTGTGCTGACAATGCCCAAAGACACCAGCGTTCCCAGCAATACCACTCTAACCATAAGTAGCTCCAAACATGAAATAAATCATGCTGATAACAGTATTGAAATATTTCATTAATTGCACGTATCCAAATTTCATTTGGTGTTAATACAAATTCCTTATCTGCAGTTGGAATTAACATATGACGATGATAATGTGTATTAATAAATTCTAATACTTCTTTTCGTAAGAATGCTTCCAAAAATATTTTTTTAGAATTTATATCTTTTTTATTATGAGATTGC